TCTTTTTATAAAATATCTTTAATTTCTTTCTGACTAGAAAAGCACATGATTTAACTTATAAAACAGAAAATACAGAAAATAAATTAATTAAAATTACACAAGATTTTAATTGTGTATCATCTTACAGAAAACTTCTTATTTTGTTATATATGGGATTAACATGTATACTTTTAAGAAACAAAATTGTGATTCTATTGTATAGCAAGTGTATCCAGTTCTTTCATTTAACATTTATGAAACATTTTCATATCTTATGATTACATATTCTTTAAGATTTGGTGAGTTGAATGAGTTGAATAGCATTACTTTAAGACTAATATAAGAGCAAAGTCTGAATGTCTCCAATGGGCTTCTTAGCTATGCGATCTTGGATAAGTTACTGAATATTTTTGAGCTTCAGTTTTGTCATTTGCAAAATGGAGATCTTAATAGTTGTAATGAAGATTTAATGACATGCTGCATGCAAAGTGTGCCCTGTGCATTAATAGCTAGTCTAAATGTTAGCTACAATTTCTGATTTCTTATAGCTCAATACTCTTTCTTCCTACAGCTACATCGTACTTTATTGGACTGCACCCCCAATTAGATGTATTGCTTACTAATTAAATCTTAAACCTTTTGCCTGGCTTTCAGGATTCCTTATAACCTAGCCTAACCTGACTCACTACATTTTTCACAATTTAAATTCTCTCCTCTCTGTAACAAATTTCTTTCCAGCTACTTGTGTTCAGTATGCTGATTTTCACCTTATCTCCCTTACTTGAGGCTACCTAGTGCTGCTTATGTATACAGATCATTTCAGGTAGAGGCGAATGCTGATTCCATGGGGAACTCAGCAGCTGGGTTGAGCCCTCAGAATCAGTCCAAATGAGGGCCCAAGGCTGGTTCTTTATGCCCTGCAGTAACTCATAATTGGAAGGTCTCAGTTGAGGACCATCAGCCACCAATACTCAGCTGGGAAAATGAATGGTTCAGTCCTGAAAGGGAATCTGGTGGCACACAACAATGTCCATTACACCTGCTTCATCATACTCTCCATCTTTCATTGTACTTGAATAAACCTTTTCTCAGTTGTATTGCTTAGATAGAGCTATATGCTAGATGTCAAGGCTGAAATATCTAGTGATGATAGATAATGCAATATACATTGCATTAATAGGAAAAGTACTACAGGAGCCAACCGAAAGAGCTGATGATGACCCAATCTGGAACAATGTGAAGAGCATAATAAAGTAAGGATGGATTATAATCCAAAGTATATAATATCTACCATGAGTTTATATCATTATGAATAAATAATTGAATACATAAATAAATGAGAAGAGGAGATAAATCTCTTATGCAGAAGAATTCCAAATAATTTATACAGCTACAACATCCTCAAGGAGGTAGCAAATAACTTGTTTCTTCTTAATCATGGGCTACACATAATGACTTCTTTCCCAAAAATACAGTGGAAAGCAGCAGGATGCAGACTAACTTTCCAGCAGAGAAACCTGACAAACACTATCTCAGCAAGGTCAACATCAGTAGTGATGACATATTGATATTATAGGCTCTTGCTATGATGTGATGAAAATGGCACTTTTCCTCTGTGATCTTCCTCCAAAAATCCAATAGCCACAGTCTAATTATGAGGAAAACATCAGGCAAATCCCAACTGAAGGACATTCTACAAAATACCTGTCAAACTATCAAGGTCATTAAAAACAAGGAAAGGCTAAGAAAATGTCACCACAAAGAGGAAACATGATGACTAAATGTAATATAGTATCCTAAATGACACTCTGAAATACCATAAGGACATTAGATAAAAACTAAAGAGACATGAAGTATAGGATTTAGTTGATGATAGCATATCAATATTAGTTCATTAATTGTAATAAATGTAATACTAATGTAAGATACTAATAATAGGGGAAACTGGGTATGGAACACTATAGGAACTTTCTGTGCTATCTTCTAATTTTTTTGTAAATCTAAAGCTCTTGTAAAAATTATGTTAAAAAGAAATACTATTACCATATGACCCAGCAATTCCACTTCTGGGTATATATCCAGAAGATTTGAAAGCGGGGACTTGAGGGGATATTGGTACACCCATGTTCATAGTGGTATTATTTACAATATCCAAAAGGTGGATGCAACTCAACTGTCCATTGATGGATGAATACATAAACAAAATGTAGTATATACATTGGGATATTTTTATTTAAGGCTTTATTCAGCCTGGAAAAGGAAAGAAATTCTGACACATGTCGCCACAGAGATAAACTTTTAGAACATTATGCTAAGTGAAATAAGCTAGTCACAAAAAGTCATTTACTATATGCTTCCACTTATAAACATATCTAGAGTAGTAAAATTTATAAAAAACAGACAGTATAATGGTGATTTTCAGGAGTTTTGGAGAGAGAAATGGAGGTGGTATTTTAATGGGTATGAAGTTTCAGTTTTGCAAGACAAAAAAGTTCTGGAAATTGGTTGTATAACAATATGAATATGATTAAGAATACTGAAATATATGCTTAAATATGATTAAGATGATAAATTTTATGTTTTTAACTATAATTAAAAAAATAAGTACTATTAAAATTATCATTTTTAGTCCTTTAGCCTGATGAAATTGATACTGCACAGATATGGTATATCTGTTTCTTTTCAGTTTATGATCCTCAGTACCCTATTTGGTTAATTATTCAGTGATCTAAAACAGTAATGAGGTTAAGTCAGATAATCAGTATCATCCAAAAGTATTTGCAACCAATGCTCATTCAAAAGCCCATATAAAAGTTACCTGGAAACCAGCAGGACATAATGCTCATGAGAACTCAGGGGTTGAAGGAGAGAAAAACATGGATCAGCTGCATTTTTTTGTTGTTTTTTTGTCTAAAATAAAAACTATTGAGCCGAAGTCACAGTGCTAATTATATATTAAGTGATATTTGGTTGATATCTTTTATTTCCTCTTTGCAACAAACATCCTATTGCACATACTTTACATTTCTTTCATTTAAAACCCTACAACACAATGACAGAGAATAGGGACATATTTTCTATTAGTGTCCAGTGATGTCTGGAGATATTAGCAAAGTTTTGAAGAAGATGGCATTATTATCTGTGCCACATATGGCAGTTGAGTTAATTTAAATGGCAGGTTCAGCCAACTGAGATTTGTCACTGTTTTGAGCTCCCTTTCCTTTTTCCCACTCGTTTAGATTCAGAGTGTCTTTGACATTGAAATACATTAGAGCATAATTCCTTTGGTGTTCTTTTTCTTTGAAAGCCAAACCAAACTCTTTAGAACATCACATTTCCAAAAGAAAGCTGTAAGACTTAAGAGTGTGATCACAGATACCTCTTAGGTCCCAATCTGTATTTAGTGTTAAACAAAGAAAGCAAGTTTATACTTTTGCAGATCTTCAAGGAGCATAATAACCATATATTTGGAATATCATTGTATGTGATCTTTAAATCTCAGAACAACCTGGAGATATAGGCAGGATTAATATTATTATGCCATTTGGTGAGCAAGGCTCTGTCATTTACCTCCAAGAAAGGAGATGACTCCTCAAAATCAACAGCTGAAAAATAGATGAGTTGAAACTAGAATTGAGGTCAGTACTTCTGCCTTTATTTACAATGCCCTTAGGACATCAGAAGTGAAAAAAACAGTAATCAAAGTGTTTGAAAACTAACTTAGAGTGGCTAACATAATGCTGTTGACATTTAGGGAAAAAGATGATACTTTATCTGAGAATCATAGTGAAGTATCTCCACCATATATAGTTCTTGGGTTTTATACAAATTGGAAGTTCAGTTATTGTCCCAGTGTGAAAGGTGTATGCAGGATGGATTGGAAGGGGAATGGCTCAGGCCAGGGAGACTAGTGAGAGATGGCATAACCCCGGAACAGTGGGCGGGATGGAAGAAGCTATGGCTGAGGAGAGTTGAACTAGATTTGCCCGTGAAAATGGAGTTGGAAGGAAAAGTGAATTGAAAAACATTAAAAGCCTGGAATAGATATAATTTGATGGTTTATTAGAAAGAAATAGGGAAGAGAAGACAACAGACAACATTGATCCTTGAATACATAATATAAAGCTAGACTCTTCCCTGCTCCGAATAACACTAGTATTCAGATATCTGTCCCATCTCTCTCTCTCTCTCTCTCTCTATCAGCAGAGGAATATTGACATTACTGTCCCCACATTTAGAAAAAGAAACAGATGATCTTCATAAAATGAAAGAAGCGTGGCTCTTTCGTTTTTAACATCTAAGCATTTACTATGTGTCTGCTCAAATGCGTAGACTGCCTGAGTGACAGGGCACCTGGTTAACCCGGTGATCAGTTGTGGCCGCCTCCATCAGAAGTATATATGTAAATGAAAATAACTAGGTTTTCCAGGTATTTAAAGCTAATAACTAGTTTTTAAATGGGGACCTTTGACATATAAACACCTAAAAGAATATGATCAGAAAAAAATATGCAAGTGGGTTATCTACCTATTCATAGCAAAATGTTAGGTTAGTTACCTCTTGATGGTGAGGCATTGTGCATAGACTGGATTTTACTGGATTTATTTCTCTCCAAAAATTGCAATCACTATATCTTGCGATTGAAAAAAACAATGTCCTTGCTCCTGGTATTTAAATTCAAAGATGAATGGTTGCAGGGATATGTTGCTTTTTAAATCACACATTTGAGAAAGACTATCACCTAGTGAATCTGTTTTTCAGTGGAAATGTGAAAATCTTAAATATATATGTTTATTGCTTACTCAAGAAAATTTATCCTCCTCTTGCTATCAGCTAGAGAAACTGAAAAAAAAATATGGGAAAAGGAATATAAAAGATAATGAATGTTTTTTAAAAACATACGACACTTGGTCTAAATTAGACATTTTTGTCTAAGGAACAACTTGTTCTTTTTTCCAAGAGACAAGAAACTAGAGATGTTTATCTTAATAAATCTTTTCCTGCCTTTGTTTCCTTCAGAAGTCGTGCTATACTGAAAAGACACTCAATCAAGGGAACTCTGGGAGAAGCCAGAAACCCTGTCCCAGGGACAGAAAAGAAAAAGTAAGTACATTTTTCTTCTACTGATCTTGGAACATATGGAATAACATATTGAAGATGTTCCTAAAAATATCTTTGTTGCTATAAAGCCAGATGACAGCATACAAAATGTAAGGTGGGATATCTTCCTTTTAGAAGACAATGTAGTTCAATATAAGGTTGATAGAATCTACTGTTAATTTCTAATTAATGGCAAACAATACATACTGGGACCTTGAGATACACATTTTCAACTTGTATCTGCCAGGGATAAGTGATTAGTAGAGACTGAGCTTGGTTTGATGTTTCTACTCTTAGCTGTGCCTATTTAAATAGTTCTTAGTAGAGGCAGCTAACCCATCAGAATAATGTTTTGAAATTTATAGCCTTTAAAACAGAATAGAAATTCATACTGCCTATCAGGTCTTACAAACTGACTGCTTTTCTCATTACTACCCTCCTCAGAGACCATATAATAGAATTATAATCAGTACATACAATTAAATGTTCTTGATGACACTAATAGGTAGACATACACCTCAAGTTAATACTTTTTTGAGAGACAGGTTTTTGTGTGCTGGTGATATATATGTATATAACACAAATATCTGTCCAATTTATCTATATCTATCTATCTATCTATCTATGACAGATATCTGTATATATTCATACTGGCCTGCATCAGTATTACATCCTTTGAAAATTGAGGCCATATTCATATTGCAGTCTTATTAGTATTTCATAAAAATGTTATGAGTTTGTAACACAGAAACAGAAAAACAAACACTGCATGTTCTCACTCGTAAGTGAGAGCTGAACAGGAGAACACATGGATGCAGGGAGGGGACCATCATACACCAGGGACATGTCGGGGAGTGGGAGTGTAGAGGAGAAATACCATTGGGAGAAATACCTAATGTAGATGATGGGTTGACGGGTGCAGCAAACCACCATGGCACGTGTATACCTATGTAACAAACCTGCACATTCTGCACATGTATCTCAGAACTTAAAAATGTAATATAAATAAATAAATAAATATTATTGGTCTGGTAGAAATTTTATTTGACAGCACCTCGATCCCTTAGTGCTACATTCTCCTACCTAGAGTGAGAAGCTTGCTTCACCACTGCAGCTTAGATGATGAAGCAAGAGGCAAGCTGCAGCCTGAGGGAAGGCTCCGAAGTTCTTCACACCCTCTCAGATTCCTATGAGAACACAACTCCAGAGGAGCAGGAAGGAGTGGAAGACATTACATTTGGTTTAGGCTCATTGCTTGGTCTTCTTAAAACCAGTGTACAACTTTCCTATTAACCCTCTGTGATTTTGTTTAAACATTGGCAATAGGTCCAGTTCCATGGCTCATCAGAGCATTTTTACTTTGATGTAAACATTTAAATTTATGTCTAAAAATAAAAAGTAACATGTCTTAATTGACATCTACTTTTATTATAAAGTAATTTCACACAAATAATTTTCTCAGAACCGTTTATATTTCTATGTAAACCACTAGATTCTCCATACTAGGACAAAATAAGTGGAATTATAAATATGAATTAATTTTATACTTAAGGAAAATTAAAACTAACATATAAAATAATTATTTGGTCTATATTGTGGGCTGAATATACAATGATTTATAAGCATAATCTTATTTAATTCCCACAATAACTCTGTGAAGAAGGTAAGGAAGGCATGGTTATTTCCAGTGATACAAGCATACCTTGCCAAATGCACACATTTAGCAAGTGGGTGGTGAAGTTAGGACTTGAGCCTAATTTTGTCAGATGCATAAGCCTATGTCCTTGACCAGCTTGAATAGAAAGGTTTGGCAGGAGCTAAAACACTACATTTAAATGACTAAAGTGTCTTGTTTTCATCAGCTATTTATAATCAATTATTAAAAATATACACTCTTAAGGAACAAATTATCCCTATACTCTATGAATTCTATGAAAGAGAAAACATTTTTCTGATTTATTTAATAAGAAGCACAATACTAAAAAAGTCAAAAAAGAAAACTAATAAAAGTAACACAAAAAATAAGATAATAATTTATTGAAATACTAGCTAAAGGAATGTAGATATCAATAAAATACAATAATACAACACATGGTATTTATTCTAGGAATGTGAATGTGGTTTAGTACCAGGAAACTTATTAAAGTGATTTCATTGTCATAGACCAAAGAATAAAACCAATGTTTTAACTTCCAAATAGATTTCAAATGACATTTGATAAAATGCAACTATGTTTCTTTTAAGAAAACACACATACATGTAGTATAGTAATTTAGGAATAGAGAGACACCATTAAAATATAAAAAAGTGATTTCAAGAAAGCAGGACAACCCTAATAGCTTATTACATGACCAATTTCATCACTTATAGTTAATATCATTTAACAAATTTTAACCAATGGAATTGTTTAAAATATTTGTTTTAAAAGACAAATATTTTCTGAATTCTTCTCATATATGCTAGGAACTGTTCTAAATGCTTTATAAATATTAACTCATTTAATTCTCACAACAACCCTAGGAGATATGGACTACTATCATTCTATTTGACAAATTAGGAAGCTGAGGCCAAGAAATACTAAGTAACATGGCCAAGGTCATGCAGCTAATAAGTAGCAGAGCTGAATTAAAACTCCTGTGGTTTGACCCATGAGTCTTTAATCATAAATATTATGTTATGCTGCCTCTCACAGGTTATAATAATTAGAAAAATGGTTACATCTTTTTTCCTTAAAATATATATATTTTACTAAGACATACTATGTCATAGTTAAAAATAAAGATGTAGTTCTAGTAAAGCCCAGTGATAATCCCAAGAGAATTAACTGAAGAACCATTAGAGTAATGAACTTTGTTAAGTAACTATACAAAAGATAAATGTGTAAAAATCAGTTCATTTTTCTATGGCAGCAACAAATAAAAAACATGAAAACTCATAATAGCAATTAAATATCACAAAGCTATGAATAAACTATTAAAGAAATGTGAACGACTTAAATTAAGAAAATAAAATTTATTGAGAAACACAGATAAACAATTGTCTGTTAAGTATGTTATGCAGAAAGAAAAATTAGCAGTAATGAGGCTTATGTTGTAGTCTTGGATGAGAATAATAGATGTTGTATACATGTTAGTTCCCTCAAATTATAAAGATAGTACAATTTCATTTAAAATCCCAAAACATTTTGGAGGAGAGCTTGGTAAAATGATTATTAAAATTCATCTGGAAGCATGAACAGTCTAGAAAAAGTACATTAAAAAAAGAAATATAAAACTTGCTATTTCCCAGTATTAAAGCACATTAAAAAGTTACAATTATTAAAACTGTGTGGTACTATTTACTAACATAGAAACTTAGAGAAGCCAAATCAGTTTGAGAAATCCCCAAACAGATCAAAGCACATGTAAAAGTAATGCATAAGAAAAACCACATTTCATGTTGATGAAGAAAGTAATGATCGTTCAAAAAGCACAACAGCAATAATTAGTTAATGTTAAGATAAGTTTGGAAATTTTATTTATATATTATAAAAATACATGTCAGATTGATAAAAGCAGAACAAAGGCAGACATAACTGGAGGAAAATAGAGTGGCAAATAATTTTATAATCTTGTCTAATATGATGTCTAAGACAAAAATCATAATTGGAGATTGATAGACTTGATTGTAAATATATTAAAACTTCTGTACGTATAAACTAGAGAAAAGACTCAAATAGCATGAACATAATAAGTGTTTGAAAATTGTTTTTTCCTGTTTTTTTGTATGGGAAAACAGAATTAATAAATCAGTAAGTGCTAACTAACATTTTAATATGTTGCTGTTTGAAGGCTTAGTAAAGCAGAAATTGTTCTGGGATAGTACTAATTTGGTATTTTAACTCCTGAAGGGACACAGAATTACAGAAATTTTTGTATGAAGAATACATACTACATCTTAATTAAAAATAAAGATGAAGTTCTAGTAAAGACCACTGATAATGTGGAAAAGTGAATTGTTCCACCTAATACAGTCAATTAAATTTGTCTTAGAGTATCCAAGAGAATAGAGGATTTCAACCAGACAGTTTTATAATTCTTACTTGTGCATTTTATTCAATAAAAATGAAATAATTCCATTTCTGTCTTGAATAATGCAGTAGAAAATTGCAGAGGAGTGACACAATGATACAATTTGGAGAGAAATGTTTCCTATTTTATTAAAGGAAATCTTTCTTATGATTTAAGAAAGATTGCCTCCTTCCAGAGTACCTCTGTTCTTTCAATGCTGGGAGCTCAGAGGAAGTATGAAAGGAAAATGACCAATAATTTTTTTATAGTTTTAATTTAGGTAAAATATTGAAGGTTATACCAGCCTGTACTATCACAATCAATTAACACTAACACTAACAAAATAGTAATTTTCTGTCCCGGGCCCTGTTAGCATAATTGCTAGACTCTAAGCTCCAAATATCTCATGGAAAAGACTAACCAGCGGGACCATGAACTTTCTAGACTTTCTGTTCACATCCAGGCCCTATCCCTGATCAATGCATTCACTCCTGTTCACTGCTATTCCTCCTGAGGACACTCACCCTACTTCATGCCTTCCTGCTAGCAGTCTCTCAGTTGATATGGAATCTGCTACCTCGCCTGTGTTGCCCTTTTGTTTCAGGGCTCAAATTTCTCAAAGTTCTGCATTCAGCCATTCATCTGTTGCTTTCTAACCCTGACCATTGTCCCTGTATTGAGTTTAGTACTTCAACTCTCTTTATACATCCACCTTAAAGAGTATCTTCCCTCACTTACACAAGGACTAGGACTGTTAATAAGTGGCTTTTTGCCAGGCAAGGTCTTGGTCCTAGGGTTTGGCTAACAGCCATCATCATTGCCATAAGAACTTTTAGGTATTCATGATCCCTGGCAGATTAATCCTGCTGGTTCAGGAGACATGCCTAAAAGTGCCTGAAACTAAAAAAAGACTACAGAATAGACCTTAGCTCTAATACTCTAATAACATTGACT